GTGGCAACGGATGGAGGTGGAGGAGGAGGAGGAGGAGTACCGCAGCGCTGAGATGGCAATCACGCGTGACATAAGAGGGAGGAGGAGGAGGCTGGTACTTGTCTCTTCACGGCGGTGGCGTGTGCACAGGCGATCACCGAGGAGGAGGAGCTGAGGGTGAGGGTGCTCGAGCTGCTGCGGCGAGATGCAGCCGAGATGCAGTCGAGATGGAGCCGAGATACAGTCGAGATATGGAGCTGCGAGAGAAGAGTAGCACAGTACGAGTTGCAGCGAGGAGACCTAGAGAGATTAGGTCTGATGAGAGTAACAGTAAAGAGCAGTAGCCTCGCTTCTCACCCCTCCTCCTTCCGCGCGTGTGTGGACCATGGTAGCACCACTTCTCACCCTCCTCCTGAGATACAGAGTTGCGGCTACAGCATGAAGAGATGCAGCGATTTGCAGACTTCACACCCCTCCAGCCGTGAAGATATTAGCCGCGACGAGCAGTAGCGCTCTTCACCCCTCCAGAACTTCTCACCCCCTCCTCCTCCCGCGTGTGTGGACCATGGTAGCACCACTTCTCACCCCTCCTCCTTCCGCGCGTGTGTGGACCATGGTAGCACCACTTCTCACCCCTCCTCCTTCCGCGCGTGTGTGGACCATGGTAGCACCACTTCTCACCCCTCCTCCTTCCGCGCGTGTGTGGACCATGGTAGCACCACTTCTCACCCCTCCTCCTTCCGCGCGTGTGTGGACCATGGTAGCACCACTTCTCACCCCTCCTCCTTCCGCGCGTGTGTGGACCATGGTAGCACCACTTCTCACCCCTCCTCCTTCCGCGCGTGTGTGGACCATGGTAGCACCACTTCTCACCCCTCCTCCTTCCGCGCGTGTGTGGACCATGGTAGCACCACTTCTCACCCCTCCTCCTTCCGCGCGTGTGTGGACCATGGTAGCACCACTTCTCACCCCTCCTCCCGCGCGTGCGTGTGTGGACCAGGCGCAAGACGCGCGAGTGCGACGAGCTGGCGGGGGCTGTCGAGCACGCGCGCGAGGCCTGGCGGGGAGGGAGAGCCGAGAGACAGCCCCGAGAGATGGCCCCGAGAGATACGCCCGAGAGATGGCGGAGAGGCAGCCGAGAGATTGCCGAGATCCAACCCGAGGCAGACGAGAGACTCGCGGCTCGGACGGCTGTCTTGCGAGAAGGCAGGTCGGGATGGTCCCGATAGAGAGGGAGAGGAGTGGAGTCGGCTCTGACGGCTTGGACCTCCGCCGCCTCGTGTGTGGTGTCAGGTCGGCATGGACCAATCTGACGAGCGGCTGGTCAAGGCGGAGGCGTCGCTGGCCAAGCGGTGCGCCGCGAGATGAGGGCGAGATACCGTCGAGATGTGGGCGAGATGTGGGCGAGATACCGTCGAGATGTGGGCAAGATGTGGCGGAGATGCGATCGAGGTGTCCCGACACACACACATCCGAGATGTACCCGAGATGTACCCGAGATATATCCGAGATATACCCGAGATATACCCGAGATGTACCCGAGATGTACCCGAGATGTGAGCGAGGTGTGCCGAGGTTGCATGTGCAGGTATG